TTCTCAAAAAAGATAGATAGATATCTTTGTTCATCATGCATTCCTTCATTCTCTCATGTCTGTATAATAGAGAGAAGAATTTGCCTTCCTGCTGGTTGGATCCCCGGCCTGCTAGATGTTGACCAGCGCTGGAATGCTAAGGCCCATTTCCGATGGTCAAGCTTAAATAAACCAGGGCTGAACCATGCAGAGATGGACAGAATGTGATGGCATCCACCTCGGCCATCTCTGAACTTTAGTGCCAGCATCGGAGCAGTTTTTTTGACACCCCGTTCCTGTGGATGCCCCGGAAGCTTTGGCGTGTGCAGCTTCTCTGTCCACAACCAGACTGTGGCAAATCTGAACTTTCCTCTGCTGGACTTAGTCAGAGGATAAGGCAGGTAGTTGGTGTCAGCAGCTCTTACTACTTGGACTCAACCAAGAAGATTGTGAGGAAGCTGGCGGGTTAGGCCCGCTCTACAGCATCGCTGCAGGTCACGGTCATCCCACACAAAGATGCAGCGGGTGAGTTGGACCATGAAGCTGGTGTAGAGTGCATGTGAATCAGTTGTGCATCCAACCTCCTCATAAAGTGCCAGATGTCCAGCGGGATCTTCATGCCCGGCCATGCCCCAAAGATTTTGTGTAGGTGAGAGTCCCCACACCAGCCACGGCCCACGAATAGGATATTTGACGGTGGCACCGTCAGGTCTCAGCCCTCCCTTGCTGTAAGCAGAGACATGATGACATGCCCATTCTCATGTGGCAGAACAGTGGATTTGCCACACTCCTGTTAGGGACACAGGGTCTTTCCTCACAGTTGCAAGGGGAAGGCTCTCTGGGCTCACAACTGTGGCTTCTGGAGGAGAGATACCTTGTTACAGAACTCTCTTCTCTTGTTTCTTTGTCTGATTAGTACCTAATAATATTCCAAGCATTATTTTATTTTTTTGTAGGAAATAACACAGACACTAGGTTTTTTCCTCACTAGGTTATGTGTTTATTAACACACCAACTAGCAATTGTTGCACTGTTCATCACCGGGAGCTGGATAGTGGTCTTGTCCATCACCACAGTGTTTTGTGCAATTACCTCCTTAATGTGGAGGTACGCTTTAGTGACGAGTCTCCACCGCTCATGCCTAATGCCATCAATCCGCCTGGGTCCTCTGTACTCCTCACAGAGTAACACAAAAAGTGCCTCACACAGACGGTTGCAGTTAGGCCAGTGTGCAGGGCTTCTCCCTCCAGCAAAGGATCTGCAAATGTATTCGGCAGCGTTCATATTGGTACAAGGAATGATGTGATAGCATGCAGCATTTTCAAGCTTTCTCAACAAAACCTACGTACCACTTTGTGCTGTATACGCCAGGCGCAACAATTGTTTTGGTGGTCCTGAATCTACCTTTGGGGATGGTGTCTTGGTAGCGAGGAGGGTATTTGGTCTGTGCTTTGTCAAATTCTGACAAACACTCCCACAGGGCAATGAGCTGGGCGACCTCCTCTCGTGACAGGGCAAGACTGTGGTCCTTTAACTTGAATAGTCAGCCAAGTCCTGGATGGCCTGGAAGCCCTCATTATTTTCAGGTCCAACTGAATCCTACATTCAGTACATATCAAAACAGAATAATCCAAATCAAAATTTTATTAATGTCCATTTGAAGTTATTACAGATGCAACTTGAAAGAAGTTTAAAACATTATCAAAACTATAAACCTACATCATGACTGGTTGAGCTTGATGCTGTAGGCTGCTCATCTGCCGAGCTGGGGGTGTCTTGCTGAGGAGCTAAATCACAACCAATGAAAGCAAAGACGGAGAGAACATTGATATTTTCTGTCTTAATATAAATCACAATTGACATTGGAGTTGCAGGTGGAGGGCAGAGCTGTGGGGGCCATACTGTGTCAAGTTGGATCTTCCAGGTGAAATGAGTCCAACTGAGACTCCCCCTCTGCAACACTGACATCCTCTGTCTCCAGTGTTGTGAGGGCCAACTTGTAGTCTTCCATGGCGGTGTTTTGGCTGTATAAATACTCAATACCTATAAGCTCTCCTGAAACAAAAACAAAAAATCATTGTAAGTGAGTCACAGGAACATGCCTAAAATCTGTTTAGTAATATATTTTGTAAATAATTCACTACATGCATACCGCCCCAACTGTATGTCCTTGGGGCGGTGTACTCCACCAGCTTTCTGCAAAGCACCTCCTCTGACAGCTGGTTGGCAGCATGCCTAAGAAGGCCACTGTACGAGTGTGGTCCTCGTATCCCTTCTGCCGTCATTGTCCTGTCCTCATACCACCAGATAGGCCTGAAAAATGGTGGCACTTGTCAGGGTTTGTGAAAAATATCAAATATTTGCATTGTGATTCCCTGCATGCAAATTCATAAATAAATATGAATATGATTCTATTACATGAAAATTAAATTTTTAATTGTAATTAATGATAATAATGTTGCACTTTACCTGGGATGAATCTATTCATACGTAAATGAAAATTCTCCAGGGAAGTGGAACCTCTGGCACAGTGGTATGTTGGCAGCACATCACCACCCTTCTTCAGTGTCCCAGTCTGGGAATACAGCTGGAAACCTGGAGGGTCCTGGAGGCAGATGATGTGTTTGCGCTGGGCCATCCAGATTTCCGCCATCTTTGATCAGAGGCACACCAAGAGTGTTGCTGTCCTTCTCTCCATCATATGCCTCGATCAACTCCTTGAGCATGTCTTCCATCTCGCTGCATCCACGGACTGTTCTTCTGCAGTGTAGCATCATGTCCATCTTTGTGATGTGACGCGTGACATCTGCTTCCGTGGGACGCATGTGGCTTGCTTCCAGCTCCGCCCGCTTGGCTGCCCTGAGCCTCTGCAGGTCACTGTTGTCCCAGACAAAGATACAGCGGGTGAGTTGGGCCATGAAGCTGGAGTACAGAGTAGGGATGCACCGATATGAAAATTTTGTTTTCGAATTACCGATATGCCGATATTATTTTTGCTGTTATGGCTGATTAGATATTTCGGATATCGATATTGTTTTTTAAAAAAGTTTCTGTTTGATAAATTTTGTACAGCTGAAATCATGCAAACTGAATTTTGAAATTCTTCTTTATTTTCAGAACGTATTTTACTTCAAATAAACAAGGTTACCAGGGTACATAAAAACATAAGTAACCAATTTACCACTACAAACATGCCAGTCTTATGGAACATGTTTTTCGCTCTGTGGCACTCAATTAACTCAATCTGTGAAAAAGGGCTGAATAAATACCAACATGGTCCTGACTGTTGTGCACATTATTTTTTCCTTGCTTGGTTCTTGACGGCTGGCTCTTGGCGCTGTCTTGGCAGAATTTCTTGGTCCTTAACGGTTAGCAGCATTAACTCCTATAAAAAGTGCGACGTCAAGCCGGATCTCCTCCCGGCCATGCCCAAGATTTTGTGGAGGTGATGTTCC